TCACTACGACTTACTAACTAATACTAACACTACTAATTAACTACTACTACTAACACTACTACTTACTAACTAATACTAACATTAGGGCATACCTTGCCAGGCGAGAATGCGAAGACCGAGGGTCATGACGACAACATGCGGCGACCGCAGCTGGCGTGGGTCGGCGAACCGAGGCGGCACCTTTCTTCCCTCTTCTCCTCTCTTCTCCCTTCTCCTTCTCTCCTCCCCTCCTCTCTCTCTCTCTCCCTCCTTCTCCTTCCTCTCCTCCTCCTCCTCCTTCTCTTTCTTCTTCTTCCTCCTCCCTTCTTCTCCTTCCTCCTTTCCTTCCTCCTCTTCCTCCTACCTCCTCCTCCTTCCTATCTGGCAGGTGGGTGGAGCTTGATTTAGGCGGCAATGCGCTGTGGCCGCTGCTCCGGCGACAGAAGAACGGCACACTTACACATGGGTAGTGAGCACAGCGTGTCCTGGTTTGTGAACACCATACGTGATGACGCCCTCCAAACGTTTTCAAATTTTTACCACCGCATATGCATGTGATATCACGACATCTCGCCAAGTTTCATGATTTTCGGGATTCGTTTGAATTTTATAGAATTAAATAACCACTTTCGTTACGCAAGTTCGCGACGCTGCCCCATGAGCACGTTGATCGAAATTTGGAGACAGTTCCTAGATTTAGCATAAAGTGACACTAACAAACAAACAAGAATAACATTTTTGGAATGGATCAAAACTATTATTCGATGCACTGCAGCTTCAAACCTACATTTTCCAAAAATTGCAACAAAACGAAATAAAGTGAAGAAATATAGCAAACAGCAATGAAATTGTGCCAAATTTGAACATGTTGTTCATGGTACAAATACAAATCTAAGAAAAAAAGTTGGTGGCAAAAAACAAAAAAAAAAAATTATTTTGCCGAGTGCCAAGGTTTGGCACTCGGCAAAGTGAATATTTTGCCGAGTGCTAACCCTAGGCACTCGGCAAAGCCAATATTTTACCGAGTGCCAAATAGAAGGCACTCGGCAAAGAGGACGGCGTTGGGTACCGTTATCCTCGGGCGCCTCTTTGCCGAGTGCCCAACTTTGCCGAGAGTCTGGCACTGAGCAAAGTTTGGCTTTGCCGAGTGCCAGACACTCGGCAAAGCCCTATTTGTCGAGTGCCAAGTTTCGCCGAGTGCGGCACTCGGCAAAGGTGGCCTTTGCCGAGTGCCCGATATTTGGCACTCGGCAAAGATTTGAGCATTGGGCAAAGTCCCGGTTTCCTGTAGTGATAGATTGACAGGGGTACGGTCTCTGGCTCTTTGCCATCCTATTTCTAAAAGAAATGACTTTGCTAGCCAACTCTGCTCTCTGGCACAAAGCTAACTGCTAACATCTACGAAGCTTCTGCTAAGGTGCTGTCAGTGGTTTATATATGGGCCAATTGGATTGGCAAGTTGCAGTTTATATACGTATCCCCACTAAAATATGGCAAAGTTGGAACTTGCCAAGTCAGTTCCTCTCCCTTGTGCATCTGGAGCTACTCTGTATGACTGTATATGCATCCTTGCTGGGTAGGAGTTTGATCACGAAAGAGAGAAGCCCAGCAACACTGCTCCGAGAAGAGATCCATGTCATCAGTAGTCTCCTGCCAATTGGTCTAGCCAGTAAGCCTCATGCATTGAACTTTCTGATCTACTTTCTCCTCATATTTGTAAAGATTAGACGCGTCGTTGCTTGCTTACATCCGTCAGATAGTTGTTTCTCATCAGCCCGAAGATTAAAGTATAATCGAGGCCAACTAATCTCCGCCGCAGATCAACCTTGCAGTCCATCCTGTAAGCTGACCACAACAACAACAACAACAACAACAACAAAACATTTAAGTCCCAAACAAGTTGGGGTAGGCTAGAGTTGAAACCCAGCAGAAGCAATCAAGGTTCAGGCACGTGAACAGCTGTTTTCCAAGCACTCCTATCTAAGGCTAAGTCTTTGGGTATATTCCATCCTTTCAAGTCTCCTTTTATTGCCTCTACCCAAGTCAACTTCGGTCTTCCTCTGCCTCTCTTCACGTTACTATCCTGGCTTATGATTCCACTACGCACCAGTGCCTCTGGAGGTCTCCGTTGGACATGTCCAAACCATCTCAACCGGTGTTGGACAAGCTTTTCTTCAATTGGTGCTACCCCTAATCTATCACGTATATCATCGTTCCGAACTCGATCCCTTCTTGTATGACCGCAAATCTAACGCAACATACGCATTTCCGCGACACTTATCTGTTGAACATGTCGTCTTTTCGTAGGCCAACATTCTGCACCATACAACATAGCAGGTTTAATCGCCGTCCTATAAAACTTGCCTTTTAGCTTCTGTGGTACCCTTGACCAACCTTGCAAATTCAGTTCGGCTTTTTAACCTTCCTTTCACATTTGCTAGCAATCTGAGATTTTTTTTACGAAGTGACAGGTGAGTGATTACTTATCCGTAGTCACCAAATCGGGGCCCATGTAAAGGATCATCGTTGCAGCCGATTGAAACAGGTCTTGTGGAATTTGCACACGATTGGTGATGGCAAAAGACAGGAAGGGCAGCGGAAACTGATTATATGCAGTGACAAAAAGGTAATAGAACCAAACATCAACAAACATCAGACTGAAGTGCCTTGTGTATTATGTATGCATGTTTTAATATTAGCCTGGTCCAATCTGAACACATAGCAAACAAAGTAATACATAAGTTGCATTTTCACATCCACTAATTTGCGTTTTTTCCATTACGGTTTCTGCATTGTTTCCTTACAAACAACATGAACATTTTGTGAAATAATAATGAATATCTCTATTGTAACAAATTGCAGTGACAGTTCAAATTTTATTCTTCATGTTCACTATCCCTTACCGACTCAGTGAGGAAGTATCCGTTTAAACTATGATTCAAGGATGATTGCACTCTTTCTAGGAAAGAATATGTGAAGAAAATATTTGCTGCAACAACTGGCTTGTCATAACTATACATCTAATTAGCATTAAAATGTGACCACAAGATATACATTTCTAATGTTCATTAAATCTACTATTTGTCCAGCACACAGGATTGCAAAAATCTTCAGAGTCAAGTCAATATGACCATAAGCTACATAAAAGCGGCTGTTGAGGCCATTACGTCATGCGGGCGTAGTGATAGCTTTGGCAGGTGCTTACAATGTGCTCGACGAAATGCCTGAAACTGAAAGAGCACAGTTTATCCCATCCATTCGTATACCTCCAAGGCACCAACTAAACTGTAAACAGATATGGCCATATGGGATCATCTCTTTCCAGAAAAAAATAGAATGGGACCATCCATGATCCATCACACTTCATCCCCAACACGAGCACAACCTGGATTTGCTTGCTTAGCAGCATTAGCTTTGTCCCCTTTAATGGCCTAGCCGGCTGGCAGGAACGGACAACAGCGTCACCATGTTGTGACGCTGGACCAAGCCACCCACCCGCACCAGCATAGCATAGCATGAGTCACACCATGGCCCCTGACGTGTCTAAAAGAGTTAGATCAGCAAAGAGTTAGATCATCAAATACCTTTTTGTCCAAGTTGTTACTAAAATATTGTTTATCTGGGTGTTAAAAATAAAAAGTTCCATGCGTGGGGTTGGTGTATTTGGGGTGGGTTCGAGGGAACTTGGGCGGATGACAGAAACATTTTAGAAAATGCCGTTTTGGATGATGGCGGAATAAGAAACTTTGACAAGTATACCCTTAACCTAACAAGTTTTTTTTCCCAGAAAAAAGAGTGCATAGTTGGTTTCTGTCATGAAAAACAGCATAAAAGAACCTCTCCCTTTATAGCACTTGGATTAGAAATTAGACAATACTCATAGTTAGAAAGATGGATCAACCGGGGTCCCTGCCCTCCTGTTTCTAAAAAAATTACTTCTCTAGCCAACTCTATTCTCTGGCACAAAGCCATGAGTACCATCTACGAAGCTTCCACAAAGGTGCTGTAAGTGGTTTATACTATATGGTAATATGGGCCAATTGGATTGGAAAATTGCAGTTTATATGCATATCCCCCTAAAATATGGCAAAGTTGGAACTTGCCAAGTCAGTTCCTCTCCCTTGCGCATTTGGAGCTACTCTGTATATGCAGCCTGCAGGGCAAGAGTTTGACCACGAAGGAGAGAACCCCAGCAAGACTGCTCCGAGAAGAGATCCATGTCATCATCAGTAGTCTCCTGCTAGTCGGTCTAGCCAGTAAGCCTCCTTACGTCTTCTGATCTACTTCCTCCTTGTATTTGTGAAGAGCAGATGCACCATTGCTTGGTTGGTTGCTTACATCGTCAATAGCTGTTTCTCAGCCTGAAGATTACTTTCAAGTAATAATCGAGGCCAGCCAATCTACTCTGCAGATCCACCTTGCAATCCACCCTGTAAGCTGATTATTCTCACTTTGGCGTTTTAACCTTCCAACATTTGCTAGCTATCTGATTTCTTTTTTAACAAACTAAATGACAGGTGATTCAGTAGGGGTTTCGACCCCTCCTGTTTTTAAAAAAAAATGACAGGTGATTGATTACTTGTCCATAGTCACCAGATCAGGCCCCCATACAAACTATCATCTCTGTTTTGGAATGTGCACACGATTGGTGATGGCAAAAGACAGGAAGGACGGTGGGAACTGATTGTATCCAGCGATAAGACGGTAATCCACTAAGACATCACCAAGTATCCTGTGTATTATGCATGGTCTACTTGCATGTTTCGCTTTTAACATTGCTCTGATCTATCTAAACATAAAAACAGAGTAAAACATAAGCTGCATGTTTGCATCCACCTTATTTTTTGGTTCCTTAACAGTTTGTTCCATTGTTTCACAGTTCCTATTAAACTATATGAGTGCCATGACTATGCATTTAATCAGCATTAAAATGTTACCACAATATATACCTTTCTAATGTTCAGTAAATCTACTATTTGTCCAGCACAGAGGACTGCAATGATATTCGGAGTCAAGTCAATATGATCATAAACAGCATAAAAGCGGCCGTCGAGGTCATCACTGGCTTCAACGAGTGTGCCACTTTTTTTCAATGGCTTAGATCTCTACGATCCCGTTCGAGTGGAGCACAAAATCAAGAACTTAAAGAAGATGATTTATTTAAGTTGCAGAGTTCTCTTCAATGTCTTCGGAATACTCTACCTTTGATGCACAACTTAATTGATCGAGCAGAGTGGAAGAACCATGAGAAGTGTGTTGAAGAGCTCCTTCCAGAACTTAAGGCTGCTGTGTACGATGCTGAAGACCTTTTGGAGCATTTCCGATACTATGAGCTGAAGGTAGAAATTGAGGGCAGTGCGACCTCATCGGAACCAGGCACTAAATTCTTTCACGATGTCATTCAAGGTAACTTCAAAAAATTGAATCACATCAATGAGAGGCTAGATAATCAATCTAGGCTGCTCAAGAGAATGGACTTACATCATGCAACTCCACGGTTTGACAGATCAGTCAGACCCAAGACAACTTCTTTTCCCAGTGAGGCAAAGATATTTGGTCGTGATGAGGAAATAAAGAGGCTCATTAAATTGCTTGGTGTACCTGCAAATAATACCAGGGGTCCTTCCACACGCAAGAGACCAAGAAGTGACAATACTAAAGCAACAATAACAAGTGTTCCAGTTTTGCCCATAGTTGGAATTGGAGGTGTTGGAAAAACTATTTTGGCCCAAAATATCTGCAGCCATCCACAAGTGAAAAAACACTTTGATGTGATAGCTTGGATTTGTGTCTCAGATGACTTTGATGTCAAGAGGTTAACTAAAGAGGCCATAGAACAATTTTCTGGGAAAGCACCGACCAAGGATAATTTGAATTCTCTTTAGGCTGATCTTGCATATAGCCTCAGCAAGAGAAGATTCTTAATTGTCCTTGATGACATTTGGGATGAAAATACGGAGCAGTGGAAGATGTTCTATACACCTTTTAAACATGTACTTCCCGGAAGCATGATGCTTGTCACGACTAGGTCTGGAAAGGTTTCTGATATAGTGCGTACGACATACCGCTTTCTATTAGAGGGTTTGAAGGACGATGTCTTTTGGTGTTTCTTCAAACTATGTGTGTTTGGATCTGATAGCTCCAACAATAATCCTGAGTTGGAACGGATTGGTGAGCAAATACTCCCAAAGTTGGAAGGTTCTCCTTTAGCTGCAAAAACCCTTGGACGGCTGCTAGGATCGAGCCTTGACCCAGCACATTGGAATGTGATTCTTAACAGTCATCTATGGGAGCTTCCACAGAAGGGCACTGACATTTTGCCAGCTCTTCGGTTGAGCTACATGTATTTACCATTCCATTTAAAGAGATGCTTCTCATTCTGTGCTGTGTACTCAAAGGTTTACAATTTTGTAAAGGAAGATTTAGCCGAAATTTGGGTGGCAGAAGGCTTTGTGGAACCTGAACATAACATTCCACTTCAAACTGGCTGCAAATACTTTGAAGAACTTGAATCTTTCATTCTTTCAGAAACTTCGTGGGAAATATGTAATGCATGATTTGATACATGACATGGCACAACTGGTTTCAAAGGACGAGTGCTTCATAATAAAAGAGAAAAATGATCTTGAACGGATTCCTCAGAATGTTCGTCATCTATCAGTGCTCAAAAGCAGAGATTTTAAGTGTTCCGACCTAGGGAATGTATGCAAGCACACAAAGTTGCGCACCCTACTTTGCCACACGTCTTTAAAAGGTAGAGCTGGCAATACTGTGATGGAGAAATGGTGTACTGAACTTTTGTGCATGCGTGTCATGGTCTTGGCCTCTATCTCTGGTTTGCCAGATAGTATTAGCAACATGAAGAATCTCCGGTGCCTTAAAGTCTTGGGTTCTTGCTATTTCAAGAGCATTCCTGCAGCATTATGTAGCCTCTATAATCTGGAGCTATTATGTGCTAGGAAATCCAGATTTGCTGGAGTACCTGGAGGCTTTAGTAACCTTATCAATCTACAAAAGTTTAAATCGAAATATCTTGGCATTGATGCTGCAATGGGGAATGGAAAGGGCATTAGGTTGCTAAATAATTTTAATCTAATCACTGGAGTTTTGTCTATACATAATCTTTGTGAAATAAGCAAGGATGAGGCAGCAGAAATTGAACTTATGAAGGACTATATTTCTAGTCTGCATCTGGTATGGTCTAAACAGACATGGGATAAGCTGGGACCTCCAAAGCACAATGAGATAGAAGTGTTTGAAGCATTACACCCTCCCACCAATATCAAATCTGTGCACCTCTATTGTTATCCAGGTGAATACCTTCCAAGCTGGTTTCGTGGTTCTGACCCTACCGTGTTGTCATCGTTAACAGAGATATCGTTTGAAAACTGCCGGAGGTTATCAAGCCTTGAACTGTTTCTGGACCCAGCTTATATGCCTGCCATCAAGAAAATGAGGGTTGGTAGTTGTGTAAGTTTGGAGTCTGTACCAATAGAAAGGTTTGGGAATTTGCATTCCCTTGAAGCACTGCACGTGTCGAAGCGTCCAAAGATGAACTCACGGCGTCTGCTGGCCCCGTACCTAAAGACGCTTCATTTGCATGATTCTGGGAGTTTTGGAGATGATATTGATTGCATTTCCCTTACTACCTTTATCTTATCAAGCAGTCATCGGGCATCTTTTACATTTATTAGAGAATCTGAACCAATATCCACTAGCGCTTCACATGGCAGCGTTGAAGAAAAGTTCCCGCTACTCACCTTCCTAGCCATTCGATCCTGCTTCCAGCTAGAGACTCTTCGTCATGGGAGTTTTTCTTGTCTGGAGAACCTGGCCATTGAGTCCTGCCCACGTCTAAAATGGCAAAGTGAAATGGTGTTACCATCGTCCCTCCAAGAGCTCACCCTTACGGATTGTGGGGATTTGTCTGCCTGGTTTCCTAGGTGCCTGGAGAAGTTCACATCCCTCAAATCACTGAAGATGGATAAATGCAAACACATAGAGTACATTCCACGTGGCCTGTGGATCAGTAATCTCAAATCACTCCAGGAATTAAAGATTACGAATTGTGAAGACCTTGTATCAATTGGTGCATCAGAAGGGATTGCACACATACCAAAAGTGTGGATTGAAAACTGTACAAAGTTGGAGGAGGTGCAGCAGCCGCTGAGGAGAGGCTATTCATGGTAGTAGGTATGACACTTATTGATGTAAAATTATGATCCAAAAGGTAGCCATAGGACACTTGCGGATTAAACCTCTGTATATATGTATCATGTTTTCTTTGTACATGATTATATCTTTTTTTTTCTCTCGTGTCATTGCATTAAGAGATGAAAAAACGGACCCGTACAAGAAGCCTCCCCCCACTCCGGCCTGAGCGGTGGGGGTGCTAAGATACAACAAGGCCTAGATCACTAAAAAACTTTGTGCAGTTCCTTTTTGCTCTTTTCTTATATATATCAATACAGTACTGGAATACACCAAACCCCATAAGCCTTTTTGCTAGTACAGAACATCAACATAGATGAACAACTAATTCTCCAAATCTAGGGAATCCAATACAATGAGAGAATGCAGCTTAGCCCTGGAAGACTTCAAATTCTGATACCTTTTGGTGCTGTTCGTGGTGAGTCTTGCCTGGCATGCCATTGCTGCTCGTGTGATTTTCTTATCTTCCACGGAACGACCATGGTTAGCTGACACGCTCTTTTTTGGCAGCACAGACAAAGTGAACTAGAGCTAGTGGAGAAGGAGAAGCTCTTCTTCCTCCAACCACCAGCAGCAGCTAGCAGCTCTAGCTATTGGTGGCGAGGGCATGAACAACTTGATGATGAAGAGCTGCCTGCTCTCTACATACAAGGAGTCTTGTGCCGGCAGGGTTTGGTGTTGGGTGGTGCCTGTTGATCGATTGCCTCTAAGCCATCCGTCCATAGCTTGAATTAGCCATTGTTGGTGATCTTGGATTGCTGGATCCATGATTCGTAGTCAAAGTCATCGAGAGCGTCCTAATGGGTTTTCTGATGAAGGTGGAGGGCTGCTGCTCCCAATAAGGAGGAGAGGCAGATGAAGCCATAATGAAATGTTTTGGGTGACTGATGATGGATGATTGATTTTGATTGGTTGATGAGAATTAAGGTGAGTGGAGTTGTCTTGTGATGAAATGAGCATGCCAATTAATTGCCAAGTGAGACCAGACCCCCTACTTTGATAATAATGGAATCAACTTAAGCAACGTCCCGCTGCTTGCTAATGGCTGCTCAATTTGTCAGCCATGTACGGCATGTCACTACACCCGCATGCGAGCTGTTGCTTCCTCAAAAGCAAGCAAGTCGGCAAACAGAAGAAACCAATCACAGTGAAATTGCAGAAAGCACATAAAATTGTTAACAACTCTAGTCAAGAGAAGGCACCATCATATCCCCCGATATCATTCATTACTTAGTAGTACCAATTAAGTCTACTCCAGAAGCTACAAATAAAAGTAGCAACTTAATGTGTTTCTTAAACATGTCATAATTATTAGTATCCAATAAGCGACCAATAGATAGTAACACCCAATGTGCAGAAGCCAAGGCGCAGAGTGCCATCGCTCACACCATCTCTCTGAGGCTTGAAAAGCATTCGTCTACCAGCAACAATGTGATCACCTTGCAATGCCTTCGCACAAACCTTGAGCCGCTCCACAAGACGTTCAACAGATACAACAGAACGAGCAAGCGTGATATTTCTTCCATGACCAACAACAGACACTTTATCGTCGCCAGAATCAAGCAAGATGACTTCCGCACAACTTATGCTGGTGGTACTAGCAGTAAACTTTGCACGGAAACCACTTGGCCATTCCCCACTGGTGATTCGCAAAGCGATTGTTGCCTCGATCGAAAAAGACATAGAGCCAAGTGCAAACTCCAGTGTGCTAAGCCTGCTATGGTACTCCCTTGTAAGGTGGTGTGAGTGAGCGCCCTCATAGTTGATGTAGGTTTTGGCTAGAAAACTCAAGCATTCATCCTTCGATTCAGTAGCGCCCTTAACTTTCAGATTAACCTCAAAGGTCGCAGGGTCGGACAACATAACAGCACGCGATGGACCCGTCAGTTTCAAATATGGAACCTATATGCAGCACCATTAAACAAATACTAAGTAAACTGAAGTGAAACAAGAGGTTATCAGCGTATAATAATAAACAGTATAGAACGACAAAAAACCAGCATTATCAACACAAAGTGCACAACAGAAAAAACTACATAAAATTATTTGTTCCATGCATTATTGACAAACAAAAAGACAACATAATTTTCTGTGTGCATATAATCATGCATGTACCGTTCATGAGCTGTACATTTAGGAAATTTGATTTCTAGCAAACAAGGTTCAAACATTTTCAAGATAGAACTCAGAAATTAGCACCAGAAACTATGAGCCACATTTAAAAATTAGACGCAGACATGCCACATTAGTTTACAACAGTAGGAGGGATGGAGGGGAGTGAGCAAGGGTCAAGTACAAGTTTGTAGGGGAACTTCCTAGCTAGGGGCTTGCCATATAGCTGACACAACGTGCATGTGCTCCCTATATTATGGAACTCCAAATGTGTTGAGAGATTAAGTGTGCCAGTTTGATTAGTAAGTAGTTATTTGCTTCTCTTATTATTACCAAACCCACAAACATATAACCGACCAAGAGATTGCAGATAGAGAAATTCACAGTGTGTACTACGCAATAAGTTATTCTAAAAAATAAATGGATTGCCACGTATAACACGCTCCGTCCTCTTCATGTCAAATAAGCTGGCCCTTGACGGAACTAATTGGATTAATAGGGTAGTTCAGTGTAGGGGAACCACAGACATAGAAACATCCCGGAGGCACACACGCCGTCGTGGTAACAGACAACACTTTGGGCAGACAGGAAAGTTGATGGGGGAAAAAATCACTGCTTCATCAAGCAGCAAAGCAAGGAGCAACAATCATGACACTGATGGCTAGTAATAAGAAATAATACAAACCTCTTGTGTAAGAATTTGACAGTTATCTCTCGAGCGATCAAAGATCATATTGCGATTTTGATCAGCACAGTCTCGTATGGCAACCATCCCAAACACATGGAGGGGCCACTGTAAGCCGCCCCTTATGCTTGCGACTTTGACTGAAAAGATCTGCAGCGTAGTCGGTTGGCTAGCCCATTGCGGCCATTTAGGCTTCTTGAACGTGAAACGCTTGTTAGGGATCTTTGCTGCAAGTGGATTTAAACCAAGGCTTAAGAAGCAGCGGCAATACTTAACAACACATAAATATGGTATCTCAGCTATTTATTGGTCAAGCAAGGTCTGATAGACCCTAGGTAGCACATATACAGGGAATGACTGGATCCTTTACACAAACTTGAAATGTATCCAGAAGCAAGCAAGGAAATCCTTGCCAACTGCAAACTGAGTCGAGGGATGGAACCAAGCATCCATATTACTTGCTATAAGCTTGCTGGGCAAGAGCACCTAGCTAGGCAAAGGGACGAAAATACGTACCAGTCCCCAGTCAGTAAGACTATGGGCGATGGGATCCACATGGCTAGTTACTAGTTGTAGCTAAGAATTAGCTCAAATTAGCTGTGGTTGGGTAGCTAGTTGGCTAGCAACTAACTAAAGACATGGCTAAAAATCAGTCCACATATTAGCCATTTAACCCTCCTGTTTCGATGCACTATAGCTTATTTTGGCTAATTTTTTCCTAGCTAGCAATTAGCTCTTGTATCAAAAGAGGCCTTATATGTTATTAAACCATCGAGGCGATAGTACCAATTTTCAAATTAAGGACATGTTCCAGTTTACAAATTAAGGACAGGTTCCAATTTATACAAATTAAAGATAGGTTCTATGGATCTGATCTGATCTGAGAGACGGGCGTCTCGAGATAGGGGCAGTACTAGGCTCTAGCTCAATGGAGAATTCTACCTCTCTGTCCGGTGGCAACCCAGGAAGATCTTCAGGGAAAACATCCGGCAACTCACATACCACAGGTATGGGGGTAAGATCAGGAGAGGCTTTAGCATGGGTAGCAACAGGTAAGATTGGATCTGAGGGTACAATAAGAGAAATCATATCCTCAGAAGAAGGAAGCCGTAACTCGACACTTCTCCGCTTCATATCCAAGACTACCCCATACACCCGCAACCAATTCATTCCAAGAATAGCATCAATGCCTTGCCCAGGCATTACCATGAACTATAGGCGGTAAGTGTGGGTAGCTAATATCAAGCTTACTGTGTTCGTTCGGGTATTGATGAACATTTGCGAACCCGCAGTACGGATTCTATAGGCATACGGTATAGCCATAAGTGGTAAGTTGTGCCGATCTACAAATCCCATGCTCATAAAGGAATGTGATGCACCAGAATAGAACAACACATAGGCTAGATGGAAATTGATGGTAAACATACCAGCCATCACCGGTTCCTGCTGCAAGATCTGCTCAGCATCCATGAAATTCACCTGTCCGGACTGGCTGGGCCCCTTCTTCTTGATCACAGTCCTCCTGACTAGCCTGGAGTTCGCTGATGGTTGAGCAAATTGAGCTGGCTGGTTCTGGGGACACTCCTGGGCATAGTGGTCATCTTTGCCACATTTGAAGCAAGCGTCAGGCTTGTTCCCAAATCCTTGGCGAGGTGGGACCTGATGTCCCTGAGACTGCTGGGGTTGCACCTGCTGAGTGAGTGCACGGTACTATGTGGAAGAAGTCTGAGAAGTATGCTGGGGCTGTCGAAATGAATGCCCGCCTGATGCTTGATAGGGCACCCGTCGAACCACCTGAACCTTCTGAGTATGAGGGTGGCTAGAAGACCCTGTAGCCACCCGCTTTCTCTTCCACTCTGCCTGGAAATCCTGCTGCAAGCCCTTCATGGTGATGGCAGCATTCATCATTGCCCCGAAGGTCTGATAGTTCGCAGTGTACAGCTCCTCTTGAAAGATATAAGAGAGGCCATGAAAGAAGCGGTCCTTCTTCTTCTCATTAGTGTCCACATAGATGCCAGCATACTAAGATAAGTGATTGAACTTATTAACATAGTCCATCACTGTCATACTCCCTTGTCGCAGTTCTAGGAACTCAGTCAGCTTCCGATTGAGGATACCAGCAGGAATATAGAACTCTCTAAAAGCCTCAGTGAACTCCTACTAGGTTGCCGAATGATCTGGCTGCTGCATGGCATGAAAGGTATCCCACCATGCACTCACGGGCCCCAATAGCTGCTACGCTGCAAAGCACACTTTCTACTCATCGGCCATGTTGAGCAACAGAAACTTCTGCTCCAGAATGCGAAGCCAATGCTTCGTATCCAGGGGCTCAGCTAACGTTGTGAAAGTGGGTGGGTGGGTCTTGAGGAAATCCTGGTAAGAGGAGGGTCCCTCAGGACGGCGAGCACCACCCCTGTTCATACCATTGCCCCTGTGGCCTCCGCGGGCGAAGCCAGCGATAGCCTATGCCATAAGCTCCATGGCACGGGCTGACTCGCGACGAGCAGCCATCAGCTCTGCCATCATCTCAGCGTGAGTCATAGGCGGTGGCGGTGGCGGAAAAGGATGAGGAGCCAGAATTGGAGCCTCCTGGCTCTCCCCGTTGCCGTGCTCATTGGCCCGGCCACTCTCGCCCCCAGCACTGGTGCTCCCGCGTCCCGACCTTAGATTCATCTGTAAGAGATAGGAATCATCCATTTAGAACAACCTTCCTAATTAGAAATAAGGGACTAGAGAAATGATAGCACATTTATTAAAGCAGTCCTTTAGTTAGTCCTATCAATTTACTAATCCAATTATACTTGTAGGGAGATTTTAGTTTAAGCAAGATGCTATTATCATGATGCATGAATCACCCTATACGTTCACTCAAGCCGGAATATAGTGGCATTCGTAAAATTTTCGGCACATCGCACACTCACTTTCCGTATGCTAGTTGATTTCTTACGCAACATAAGTCAATGTACCTGCAGAAAACTGATTAGATAAAACTAGTGCCGCTATCCTAGATAGACCATATTTCTAGGGCTTATACTTATTTACCTAACTTAGTCGCATCCTACTTTTTTGTAAAACTTTTGTTGGTCAATTTTTTTAAGTTTTTGAAAAGAGTGAAGAAACTCGTAATCATTACTGGCTCTGGTACCAACTGTGGCAGAACCATCCGAAATAACACACTTACGGAGGTGCTCGTCTTCCACCAGACACTAAGCACCCCGAAAGCAAGCTACAACGGGCGGTATCCGTCAGGCACACCCCAAGGAGAACCCGAAAGATCCACATTTTTCCCAAGGATCCAATAATGAGAATGAGTTACAATACTTGTCCATTTCATACATCAGAAGTTCTTAGAAATTACATTATTACATTACCAAATGTCAGAGTGCGGAATAATAAACAGCGGAATTTAAAAATAAATATCTAGAGATAAAGGACGATGATCCATCTGAGCCCACCAGAAGAATCCTCCACACAAAGATACTTCTCATGCATTACCTGCAATAGGGGTAAATAAACCCTGAGTACACAATGTACTCGCAAGACTTATCCGACTAGTGGGAATAATTTTCTGACTCCAAGGAGCATGATAAGCTTTATGGTTTGCTGGTTTTCTTTTGGCAGAAAGCAATACTAGTAGTGAGTCCTTATTTATGTTATTATTATCAGCCGTATTAAGTTATTATCCAGCTAGTCTATATAAGCACCTGTTCTACTTTCAAGCAAGAGTTGAGCAATCAGTTCCATTTCATCATCTTCCATCTTTCAGTTCTTACTACGGTGCTAGACACGAAACAAGCTATACCGGATCGCCCGGCGATTCGCGAATCAATGCCCCTAGCTAGGTACCCCAAAAAGACACGCTCCTCTTGTACCCTAGGCACAAGCAGGACTAACCATCACCCTCCTGTCGTGGGTGTCCAGGTCCCGTCCAAACTTGGACTCAAGCCCCCACTCCTGAGTCTCGGACTCAGTCCGGTGTAAGGACCTCCACCATCTCTGCCTCCAATCAGTCAGTCCCAAAAGAATCGGATCCACGACAAGAGAGCAACGAGTCTTCCCTGCGACCATATTCAAGTATGTGTTCGGGATAATAAATCTGTGACTTGCCCACGATGCCTTATGCAACGACCGGTCCTTAATCGACACAGACAGGGAAAAAGTGTAACCGAGCTATGCCTTGTTGGCCGCAGGACACAATCCTTTACACCCACCAATACCCAAACCATATCCCTGCCCGGTCACCATTTTCCTTTCCACCATTTTATCTTGAGTGATCATATTTATCACCTACTCATGAGTAATGGTAGGTTACTCACGCTACCGATATCATGAGCATAGCAGCTACTTGACCTGTACTAGTAGGACTCATAGGTAGATATATTTATGCATGCAGTTTTCATAAAATACCTGTAACGTAAATGCACATCATATAATATTCAGTGATCATTAAAAATAGGGGTTATGCACCGGGGCTTACATTGGGCAGGTGACGGGTCAGCAAAGTCAGCACCAAAAGGCTCCAAGGCTCCCTCCTACACGAGGACCTCCTCCTCGTACTCATTAATGACTTCCTCGTACTCCTATTCGTCGACGGGCACCAACTCTACCAACTCGTGATCTACATGCATGAAATGATGATGCAACACTTAGTATTACAGCAACAACAACTCTTAAAATAAGAATACATCTATTGAACTACTAAGTAAGTTCTACCAACTAAAGTGCTCAGCTACCTACTGTTACCACTAACAAGTGTGAAGCATGACATACAGCATTACAGCAACTAAAGGTTTTCTTACTCCTAATACCGATTTACTCTATATACGATAAAACAGGGATAATAGCTACTCTATATATCAACCTATCTTAGGGCTACAAAATTTACAGTAAGTACATAATAATCTAGTGAGCCTACTGTAAAAATTTTATAGCTATAGCTATCACCAATTTATCACAAAAATTCCTACAAATATTAATCTACATAATACTAAGCTCTCTAGTTTGGATTTATGATCCTATCATTATCATAGCTATCTGTAAACTAACTACACTAACAGCTAGATGGCATTTTTGTGAACCTAACAAACTTAGTTTCACTATTTTTGGACATCTACAAGATTTACTACAATTTATCAAAGTGTAGCTCAAAACTATATTGAATAAACATTTATAATTCACTGGAAAATTGGAAAACGTATTCTCCAGCGTGGCGCAACTCACGACATGGCTCGGCCCACTACCGCAACCCGCGCGCGCACACCAGCGCGGCCCACGCGGTGGCCACAGACTGGCCCAGCAAGGCGGGCGCACTCGCGAGTGGCCCAGGCGGGAGCAGCACACGGCCCAGCAAGTGGAGCGCACGCGCGAGTGGCCCAGTGCGGCGAGCGCGGACGTGAGCTAGCCTAGTTCGGCTGCGCAGTTGCTGCCCAACAGAGCACTTAAGGTGGTGTATTTCTAATGTATTTAGGGATTTATTTTCCTACAAGAAAGCGGCCCTATATTGAGTGTGACGCAAGGATGATGCCAGGACGTTGTCAACAAGCTAAGAGCAAGGGCACGCATCGCCGGCTGCTAGCTTGCTCTGCTTGCTTGCGCGAGCGTGGTGCGGTGGTGGTCGCCGATGAACAGAGCGCGTCGGTGTGCTGTTCGTGGCGCTACTACTGGCTCAGCGTAGAAGGGCGCGAGGGTGCGGATGAGCCGGCTGACCCTGCAGAGCTCGCGCTAGAGGGCGCCCAAAGCCACGACGGGAACGCCCCACACAACCTCACCGTA